AACCTCCATAGTGAGCCATCTCCCTACAGTGGCCATCTCTTCAACTTCACCTGATTTCATAGAGCAGACATGCCCACATGTATGTATTGGTAAAGCAGGCCTGGTTCCTTATGCTAATCACCTCTGTATGTTGACAAGGTTGTTACTGTCTCTTGAGTGGTCAACTTACAGAGGTTCTGCTGCCTATGTGTGTGTGTGCGCGTATGAATAAGAATATCCTAAGCCAGAGACAGTTACAAAATAAGAATTGTAACAACAGAGACCATAGTGTATCCTCAGGAATACTCTAAACTTCTGAATGATATAATACAATTAAGAAATGTATGGCTCAGTGCCTGTAGCTCAAGCAGCTAAGGCATCAGCCACATATACCAGAGCTGATGGGTTGGAAACAAGCCCAGGCCTGCCAAACAACAATGATAACTACAACCAAAAAATAGCTGGGCATTGTGGCAGGCACCTGTACTCCCAGCTACTTGGGAGACAAGAGAATAGCTTAAGCCCAGGAGTTGGAGGTTGCTGTGAGCTGTGATGCCGTGGCACTCTACCCAGGGCAACAGCTTGAGGCTCTGTCTTAAAAAAAAAAAAAGAAAAGAAAAAGAAACGGAGCTGTCAGAGTTGGGGATCCTACCTCTAATCCTAAATTTTGGGGAGGCCACAGCAAATACACTGCTTGAGCTCTGGGGTTCAAGAACAGGCTGAGCAAGAGGGACACACCAACTCTCCTAAAAATGGCAAAACTAGCCAAATGTGGTAGAAGGTGCCTGTATTTCCAGCTACTCAGGATGCTGAGCCTTAAATACCAAGTATTTAAGGTTGTGAGCTATAATGCCATGAAACACAACTTTGTTTAAAAAAAATCGAAAATAATGAATTGCAAGGAGTAGATTTTTTAAATATATTAAGGTTGGCAAAAGCTGGGTGATGTGGCTTAGGCCTATAACCTAGCACCATTGGAGGCCAAGGTGTGTGGATTACTTGAACTCAGAAGTTTGAGACCAGCCTGAGCAAAAGCAAAATCCTGTCTCTACTACAAATAGAAAAACTGAGGTGGGCAGCAGGGCCTGTGGCTCAAAGGAGTAGGGCTCTGACCCCATATACTGGAGGTGGTGGGTTCAAACCTCCACCTGCAAGGTTCAGCCAAGACCTGCAAAAAAAAAAAAAAAAAAAAAAATCTTAAGGAAAAACTGAGGCATGTGCATCGCTTGACCTGATGGTAGAGGCTGCTGTGAGCTATGACGCCATGGCACTCTATCCAGGGCAACAGCTTGAGATTCTGTCTCAAAAAAAAAAAAACAGTTGTCAAACTACTGCACATATAAATTAAATTATTTATCACAGTCCATATAAAAACAAAATTGTGAGGCTAAAGAATATTAGACTTTCTTCCATTTGGGAAGATTCTTAATGTTGTGATAAAATGATTATAATTTCTTCAGAATCTTATTTGAAACTCCATAGCATAAAAAAGTAAAAAGTATAAATTATACAACAACTATTTGTGGTGTTCCTGGGATTTTTGAAACAAATAGTAACATCACCACTTCACTCACATATTTTGGATATGATGCAAAAGAAAAAGAAACTTTGGCGGCACCCGTAGCTCACTGGGTAACGTAGCTCACTGGGTAAGAAGCTAACCACATACACTGAGGCTGGCAGGTTTGAACATGGCCCAGTCCGGCTAAAACAACAACAACTGCAACAAACAACATAGCGAGGCATTGTAGCAGGCGCCTATAGTCCCACTTACTTGGGAGGCTGAGGTAAGAGAATCAATGAAGCCCAAGGGATTGAGGGTACTATGAGCTATGATGCCACAGCAATCTACCCAGGGAGACAGCCTGAGACTCTGTCTCACAAACAAACAAACAAACAAACAAACAAAGAAATATAAACTTTATTCATACACAGTCTCATTCTGTTGTTCAGGTTACAGTGTCATAAAATCAGCCTAACTCACAGCAACCTCAAACTCCTGGGTTCAAGCAATTCTCCAATCTCACACCCACCACCAGCCCCCAGTTGGTGGGACAACATGCAACCACTACAATGTCTGGATATTTTTTCTCTTTTTAGTAGAAACAGGGTCTCACTCTTGTTTAGGTTGGTCTCACACTCCTGAGCTCAAGCAATGGTCCCACTTTCGGTTCCAAAGAGCTAGGATTAGAGGTGTCAGCCACCTAGAATAATAAAGAAAAAATTTAGCAGGTATACTAAAAAATACAAATGTATTTCATGTTCTTAAAAGCAATGGAAAAGCAGTCAGATCCTACACTCACATGGTAAGTCAAAGAAAGTTCTTTCATTCTCACTATAACCTAGACTATCACTAAAAAGTAAGATTCTTATGAAAATCAAAACCAAGAACAGACATAGTGGCTCATAACTATATACCGAGCATTCTGGGAAGCCAAGGAGGGAGAACTGCTTCAGCTCACAAGTTTGAGACTAGTCTGAGTAAGTATGACAACTCTCTAGCACTAAATAAATAGAAAAACCATTAGCCCAGCAACAGGGAGAAACTTGTAGTCCTGGCTATTAGGGAGCTGAGGTATAAAAATCATTTGACACCAGTAGTTTAAGGTGGCTATGAGCTAGGCTGATGTCATGGCACTCTAGTGTGAGGCAAGAGAGTGAGAGTCTATATCAATAAGGAAATAAAAATTGGCGGTGCCTGTGGCGGTATATGGCGCCAGCCCCATATACCGAGGGTGGCAGGTTCAAAGCTGGCCCCGGCCGAACTGCAACAAAAAAATACCCAGGCATTGTTGTGGGCACCTATAGTCTCAGCTACTTGGGAGGTTGAGGCAAGATAATCGCTAAGCCCAGGAGTTGGAGGTTGCTGTGAGCTGTGTGACGCAATGGCACTCTACTGGAGGTGATAAAGTGAGACCTTGTCTCTACAAAAATTAATAATAATAATAAAATTAAAATTAAAAAAATAAAAATAAGAAGACAGATGGCCTTATGTAAGAACAAGAGAAAGAAACCCAGGCTTCTCAGAAATCACTTCCAATGAAGCTGAGCTTTCCTAATCACCCTGTATTGTGTGATTTCCTCCCAGAACTTGGACATCTGACCAGTGTTACCTGCTTCACTCACTCCAACCTACTTGGGTGCTTGAGTAGTGTCTGCTGTGTCTTCACCTTCCAGGGTTCTTTGCTTGGTTCCAGACAAATGATGAGGTCTGGCTTAGAGACAGCAAAACCTGTTTCATTAGAAAAAAATTAGGGGGCAGTGCCTGTGGCTCAAAGGAGTAAGTCGCCAGCCCCATATACTAGAAGTGGTGGTTCAAACCTGGCCCTGGTCAAAAACTGCAAAAAAAAAAAAAAAAAAAAAAATTGTGATTCTTCAATTGGCAATCTAATGCCTTGGTGAAGTACAGAAAAGGACATTTTAGAAGATCCCAAAATAATAATCCCAAACATTTCCTTGCAGAAACTTCAGAATCTTTAAAACGTATTTAAAGTTAGAAAATTCCTAACTCCTCCACTACTGAAAACTACTGAAATAAAATTGGGAGCTAGAAATCAGATTGAAAGTTATGAGTACCAATCTGTGCTACAAAATTTTTGAAATTTGCATTAATCTAGATAAGGATATAAATTAGCTCAAAAAAGAGTAAGATTAATGCCAAAATAAAACAAATCCAATTTTTTCTTTTCTATAGCAAGACATCCTAAAGTTTTCTATAGAAACAAGAACCTGATACTCAGTTTATGAATCAACTCAATAAAAACCTTTTACAAAGAGAGAATGTGAATTGCTTACTGTAGTGCCGAACTCTATATTTACATTATTGTCACCCAGGAAGAGCAGGGTTCTGTAGGTCTCTAACATGACATCCTGATACAAATGCTGCTGAGCAGGGTCCAGGCAGGCCCACTCATCCATAGAGAATTCAATAGACATGTCCTTGAATGTCAAGGACATTCTAAAGGACTCCCTAAAACTCAAAGATATTTATCAAGAAGCTGTGAGGAGACTGAATTTCACTTTTAGTTAAATGAGTGGAGAGAAATCTTGGTGACTTACATAAGTGAGTGCAATTACCTAACAAGTATAGAAGAGCTATATTCCCTCATGTGTTACCTAACACTGAAGACAGGGGATGGAATGGCATCCACAAATCCAGTGACAGATTGTACATTTTTGGTTGACACAGTGGAAATAAGAGGCCACCAATACCAGCAGGTATAATTCTGTGCCTTACTTACATCATACGTTATAATCTGTGTATGTTTTTTGTTGATAATGTCACGATGAGATAAATGGTAACTCTAAAGTGGTAATATGTACGAGAAAGAGCTGGAGATCTTGAAAAAGTGAACATTGTTATTCAGACAATACGAGGTGAATTTCCATTTCTAAATTTCCAACAAGCTCAACAGGAATGACAATGCTTCAGTCCCATGATGATATTTTATCAAACATGCAGTGAGCTGCAGACACTGGATTTACCCCAGTTGATTCCTGAACCAGTAAACAAAGATGACAACCTTTACTTTCCCAAGAAAGGTATATGGAAGAGAATCTAAGAAGATAGGGGGGCTTCCTCAATAAGTGTTTTAATTTCCTCATATGAGGTGATAATCTCCCCCAAGTTCTTATTAACAATACAGAAGATACACTGAACCCTACAATGGAATATGTGTCCAAGAACACCGTAACTGAGTGAATAAAATTAACATCAACTGTAACAGGACGAGTTAGTATCAGGTGCTGATTCACAAGTGCAAGTCCAACATCACTGCTGTGATAGTAATCGCCAGAAAAAGTCAATGATAATCTGATAAAAACTAGTTGAGAAAAACGCAGTTTGGGGAAAGTTCCAGTTACAGATATCTGGCATGTCTTCTGATCTCTAGTCGTGTTTTAAACAGCCTTTTTTACCATCTCAGAAAGCAACTCTTTTCTAACTATTTTGTTTATGAGAACTTTGAATTACTCTCCAGGGGTCCTCAAACTTTTTAAATAGGGGGCCAGTTCACTGTCCTTCAGACCATTGGAGGGCCAGACTGTGGGCCCTGGGATGAGTCAGCTGCTAAGCAGGACAGGTAGCGGCAGCAAAAACACCCGGCGGGCTGGATAAATGTCCTACGTGGGCTGCCGATGGCCTGCTGGCCATAGTTTGAGGACATCTGCAGGCAGTTAATGCCATCTTCTGTAAAAGTGCATGGACGTCATCCTATTTTACATAGAGGCAATGGAGCTTTCAGATGGAAGCGAAACAGTACATATTCCTCATCTTTGCTACTATGCAATGAGCCAAACTCATTCAAAATGGGAAGCTTGGGCATCCACATTTTCCGATTTTCAACACAGAGAAATGGAACATTTTCAGTATTTCAGGAAACAAACTTAAAGCGAGAATTTTTTAGGGCCTATGGGAGCCTGTATGGAGAGAGACTGGAAAGAAGACTCTGCCATATGCAGTGGAGAAGGAGTTTTGGAGCCTCTTGACTATTATAAGAAAAAGGGGGAAAGGATATTTGAAAGAAACACATCAGGTAGGATCATCACAAGTAGAGATGTCAAGGTTTGCAAAGCCTGAGAACATGACATTGCAGGAGGAAAAGTGCACCCAGCCCTGGACCTTGGACTCAGTTACCTGAGTGACAATCACTTCTTTCTCTTTCTCCTGCTTCCCTTGATTTCCTTCTCAGGCGAGACTATCTGGACACGTTACTCCTGCACCTTGACCATATGCCTTTAAAGGCATCAGCACAAACTCTTCACCTGCTACCACCACATCCACAGGCACAGGGACCTTGAAGTACAGAGAAAATTTTACCCTTTTTCATGCTTTATCACGGGAGAGAGTCAGGAAGAAGGAGGTTCCATATAAAGACCAAAGTGTGAATTTCTAATTTCTTGGCTCCAGTGTCCTCCCCTGACAGCAATTTCAGCTATGGAAATGGGAATATGGGCCCTCTGACCTTTTTCTGGAAAAAATAAATAAACTTGACTGTCTTAAATGTATCTGGAAACCCTCATGCTTGACATTGGCCTTTCATTAGCTTCACAGTGGGCCACATGGATGACACCAGCCACACTAATAGAATCTGTGGGCGGCAGAATCACAGATGATGGTTCTTCTTCAAACTGCCCATGGAATCCTACCTGGAAGCCTGGGCTGAGAAACACTTAGCCAAGCATCGCCTCTCAGACTTCAGTATGCATACGAGGTATTTCTCAGTATGCCTCTCTTAGCATCTGATTCAATAACAGCAGCAGTTACTCTAGCTTCAAACAAATAATCAGTTTTATTTCACAATGCCTATTTATGTTCATCCTTAAGAATTTCAGAAAGGTCAGCCAGATGATTCAAGCCTATAGTCCCAACACTCTTGTAGACCCAACGCAGGTGGCTTATGTGAGCTCAGGAGTACCAGATCAGCCTGAGCAAGACTGAGAGCCTGTCTCCATTATTGCTGGGCATTATGGCAGGTGCCTGCAGACCCAGCTCCTTGAGAGGATGAGGTAAAAGGATGACTTTAGCCCAGGAGTTTTAGTTTTCTGTCAGCAGTGATGCCACATTAGTCTATGAAGGGTGACTGACAACCTGCCTCATAAGAGAAAAAATTTCAGGAACGGTTTTGGCCCATTCAATACAGTATCAATTTTGAAGAACTCCTCATGAAGGAAAATAGTGAGCAGTGAACCCCCATTTCTGTGTTGGGTTACTTGATGTCAGCCTGACAGCCAGATGGCAAAAAACCATTCCAACGAGACATGGGGATCTGAACACAGAGAAAGCTTGCACACACAGTGTCCCAAGCTCCTTTCCCCTTTCACCACCTTCTGGTCAGCCCAGGAACATGAGGTGCTCTTTGCAACACTAGTCAGCCATCTCCTCATGTTGCTCTTGAATAAGCTGCTTGTTCTTCCAACTCTTGCATTGAGACTTTGATGTGTCAGGAGGGAATAGTCAATCTTGGGTTTGGTTAAAAATTTGCAGGTTTTGAGTGAGTCTAGGAAGTGGCTTCTTTAACAATTCCTCCTATTGCTGCTATTACTTTATTATTATTTTTTTTTATAGTTTTTGGCTGGGGCTGGGTTTGAACCCACCACCTCCCACATATGGGGCCGGCGCCTTACTCCTTTGAGCCACAGGCGCTGCCCTACTGCTGTTAGTTTTCCTGGACTAAAGCAGTGAGGCAAGAAAGTAAAAGCAGAACTAAAAGAATCTGTCCTAGCCGCCCTGTGTAGGCCTCAGCCAAGCCGCAGGTGTTTCTGTTCTGTATGTTTCTTTCTTGACATACATGGGGCCTAGACTGTAACCTAGTAACTTCCCTGGACTTCCATCGTCTTTGAGGGTAGGTGGTCCAATGGGTCTCAAGGACGCCGGTGAGTCTGACCTTCCCCCTTGAGCCCGGGACCTTGAGGATGATGTCATGTCTCTCTCTGTTTTATGACCCTCACCTGCATTCCGGCCCTGAAAAGTGGATAAAAGAGAGGCAAGAGATTGATTGAGTTGGGGGGCTCGGTTTTGGAGACACACTGGTGTTCCAAGTTACTTCCCAGCCGTAATAAACCCGCTTCCTCTAATCAACTGGTGCCTGGAGTCTTCTGTCTGCGAGCGTTTCCTGCTACACTTTGTTGGGTGATGTTCTTTCTCGAGGGGAGAGGACAGCTTGGCCGCAGGTGCAAGCTCGCTCCCAGAATTGTTTAAAAGCAAGAAATGACTACACACTCTTAGGTGGCAAGTAGCAAAATGTCTTTATTTTCTACTCCCTTTTATTGGGAGCTAGTCATGTACACCACATTGATCGATAATCCTAACATCCTCATTTCTTGTCTTAAACTATAGAAAAGAAAGAAAGTCCAGGAATGTGAGATAGTCATCATAAGATTAGCCTAAAGAAAGAAAGTCCCGGAAAGTAAGACAACCATCTTAAGCTAGCCTCAGGCTATTCTTCTTGGAAGATCTAGGAGAACAATATATTATCTGACTTCTATTATTAAAGTTAAAGGTTAGGATAAACAGAGGAGTAAAACCTTTCTCTTCTACTTACTCAATTAAATTTCCGAGAAACTGGCTTCATGACCGTTTTCTTATGGCTTTGGAGACCCTGCAATTACGATGGAGTATTTTACTTGACATCATTATGATGGAGTTTTTCTTTTTACTCACATCAACCTTTGAGTCATGTCCTCTGCACAGATGGGCCGTTTCAACCCTTATCTGACAGGCTGACTTGACTGCACAGTCGGGGTTACCTGCAAGAGGTTTTTACGCCTGGCTTGCAGGCCCCCACCGTGTTTTCCCAGGTCGCTTAGGGCCTCGACAAAAGCGCATAATACTCACAAGTCTTTTCGCTCAGTTCTGGAATTAAAAGAGCACATTTCATTTAATTTTTGTGGGGGTTTACCCCACAACACTTTGAGCTACAGGCACCGCCCTAGCTCACTTCTTAAACCTAGATAGCGTTGACCAAGGGATAACCAGAGGACACAGAAAGCCAAGTCTTACCTCTTTTCCCTAAGCCCCTATTTGTGCAAGTTTCCTACTGTCAATTAGAAAATGGACTTAAAATGGAATGTGTACCCCTGGGGATGCAGGCAAAGACACAGAGTAAAACACAGAGAAATTCTACATTAAAAGTACAATAATTAAAATAATGTGAGGGTTGGATACAATCAGATGAATGTCCATACTACTTCATTTACAAACCATAGGTGCTGGTGTTCTGTCCGAAATTCTCCCGAAAGACCCAGTAGACAAATCCGAGACACACTCCGATGTAAAAAGCACGAGATGAGTTTTATTCAGGCCCCGGGAAGCCCGGACTCTCCTGGCATGCAAGCCGAGGACGAGCCCCAAACCCAGGGTGGAGGAAGTTTTTATGGGGTACAGAAAGCAAGAGGGGTAGGGTCAGATACGAGTACACTTTTCATTGGTGGTTGGTGATTTCATCGGGAAAGGGGGAAGTAAAGGAGGATTTGCATTGGTAGCTGATGATTTCACTAGTAAAGGTGAATTTGGATTGGTACAGGTGAGGGGTGGGGGGTTCCTTAACCGGGGGCTAGAGTTGGTGCAACCTGGTTACCTGTATTTCAAGGTAATAGAAACCTATTGTTTATTATAGCAGCTGTTTGCCTAAGGTCACTCAATTTACAGCTCAGTGGCTGTGCAACCTGGGGTGGGGGGAGGCAGCAGGGAGTGGCCCTGCAGGTTTCACTGGCAGAGGTTGGGGCGGAAGGGCTATGCGGTAAA